ATGACTACCAAGTAGACCAACGAATTTTATGGTGTAAGGAAAAGTTCGAGATGTTCCTTCCATAATGTGAGAATGTGAAATGCTCTGGCCACAATCGTGATATATATAGGCTCTGAAAACCTGACCTTTGAAAAAGGGTAGTTATCCTCCGTCAAAATTTGTACAGCAAAGATGGATTTGATTTACCTACAGATGAGGACGTGCTAGTTAATGCTATAGTCTGCTTATGATATGACATATTGAGACTCATGAATAGTTAGATTCGCTGTCCTGAAATACGTTCAATCTGAGACGAAAAGTCAAAATCGCTAATGCCTTAAGACAACGACCATTTAAGTAACTTGAAAGCTTACGACGTATGAATTGATATACCTTCCAAGTTTTCAAGTATGCCTATCGTGAACCTTCTATGAAGGATATTGAAGGACTTTTCAATCAAGAAAAGAAATTCCGTTGAGCAATGACGTGCAAACGAGACTCGTGATTGAATGAAGTTATGTATATGTCAAGTATGCAATACTATACACTACGAAGGAACTTTTGTCATCAATACCAAAGGATCAGTGAAGACCTTGCTTAATCGAATATTGTTAATCTCTCAAAGATTGAGCGAGTTTGGTGACATCAACGATTTGAGAATGCATATCTATGAGACGTAACCATGTGGATATGATGCAATCATGATTAGATATGAATACAACAAGATGTTCATTGTGGACCTTAGAAGAATTTCGAGGACGAAATTCTTTTAAGGGGGGTAGAAATGTAACGCCCCAAAACATACCTTAGAATTATTAATAGATAATTATTAAAATAAATCAAATTTGTTTTGATTAAAATAAATTGTTATGGGCTTTGGACCGATAAAAATATGTTTTGATATCCCATATCACAAATCAGGATAAGTCTCAAAAAAAAATAATCCAATATGTTGACTAATTGGGTAATCTTGGTTGGGAACCTTAGTACAGACCCAAATTAAGAATAAATGAAGAAATTGTTTACTTTGAAATGGTTTATTGAAATAAATCATGAGAGTAAATAATATGAATTGAATATAACACCTTTTATAGTAAAGGTCAAACAAATCAATTTTGACTCTGTCAAAGTCAACCACCCAAAAATATGATGTCGGAAAAAGTATTACAAATAATTATGAAAAGTATATCGTTGGATAGAGCTCGACTGTCTGATCGCAACGGTGCAAACAGATTTCAATTTGGAGAAAGTTGGACCAAAAAGTGTACCCCGACTGGAACCAAAATAGGTCCCAATCAGGGAACTGTTTAGACGGCGCCTCCTTCCCCACTAC